CACACCAATTAGATAAGAGAAAGAAATAAAAGGAAGATCGGAAAAGAAAAAGTCAAAATGTCATTATTTGCAGATGACATAAACTCTATATAAAAGACGCCAAGAACTGCACTAAAAGTCTTATAGACTTAACAACTAAATTCAATAAAGTAGGTGGACACAAGGTCAATACACAAAAATCAACTGCTTTCCTCTACACCAACAACAGACTCACTGAGAGAGAAATGAGGCAAACAATTCTTTTCACTATAACAACCAAAAAATTGAAATACCTAGGAATCAACCTAACAAAAGAAATCAAAGACCTCTACTCTGAAAACTACAGCACTCTAAAAAAAAAGAGTTCAAACATGATATCAGAAAATGGAAAGACAACCCTTGCTCCTGGGTAGGAAGAACCAACATAGTGAAAATGGCCACACTTCCAAAACTGCTATATAGGTTCAATGCCATCCCAACTGAAATTCCAGCACCATACTTCATAAACCTTGAGAAAACAATCCAAAAATTCATTTGGAACAAGAGACCTAGAATAGCAAAAGCAATTCTAGGCAATAAAGACAAGGTAGGGAGTATCACAATCCCCAACTTGAAACTATACTACAAAGCTACTGTGATAAAATCAGGATGGTACTGACCCAAGGACCAGTGGAACAGATTAGAAGATGCAGAAACAACTCCAGACATACTCAGCCACCTCATCTTCGATAAAGGACCCAAACACCCTCACTGGTGGCAAGATAGCCTCTTTAATAAATGGTGCTAGAAAAATTGGGTTTCAACTTGCCAAAGATTAAAACGAGACCTACCTTTCTCACCATGCACTAAACTAACATCAAAATGGATTAAAGACCTAGGGCCGGGGAATTAGCTCAGTGGTTTCGCTGCCTGCTGTGCAAGCACAAGGACCCAAGTTCAATCCCTGGTACCAAAAAAAAAAAAAAAAACCAAAGATCTAATAATATTATTAAAACAGAAACACTAAACCGGCTGGTAGGAGGTTAAGTAGAACTCTGGAAGACACTGGCATAGGAAAAGATTTGCTGAACAAAACCTCAGTTGCATGTGAACTAGCACAAACAATCAACAAGTGGGATCTCTTATTAAAAAGCTTCTGCATAGCAAGAAAAACCACCAACAGTGGGAAAAAATTTTCACCAGCCTTTCCTCAGAAAAAGGTCTACTATCTAGGATATATAAAGAACTTAAAAAAATCAGACCTCCCAAATTTAAAGATCCAATCCAAAAATGGACATCTGAAACGAACTGACTTTTCTCAAAGAAGTAAAAGCTTCAAATAATCATCAAAAAATCTTGAACATCAAACGTCATTCAAGAGATGCAAATGAAAACAACGCTGAGATTCCACCTTATCCCAGAAAGAATGGTTGCTATCATGAAATCAAGCAATAATAAATGCTGGCGGGGTGTGGGGAAAGAGGAACCCTGCTCCACTGCTGGTGAGAGTGTAGACTGGTGCAACCACTGTGGTGATAAATATGGAGATAACTCAAAGAACTAGGATTGGAAGTTCCATTTGACCCAGCTTTTTCCTTCCTGGATATCTCCCCCTCAAAATTAAAAGAATTATACCACAGCAATTTATGCATACCCATGTTCATAGCAGCACAGTTTGTGAAAACTTGGAAAGAGCCCCATTGCCCATCAACTGCAGACTGAATAAAGAAAATGTGTTTTTTCTATAAAATGGAGTATTACTGAGCCATTAGCAATGAGAAATTAGAGACATTTATAGCTAAATGGATGCACATTGAAGCAATACTCTTAAGGGAAATAAATAGGAAACATATGTGTAAATACCAAATAGTTTCTCTGGTGTGAGAAACTGAAAGTGTAAATAAGGACTAAAAGCAAAATAGATAATGTGAAATCATAAGAAAAGGGGCAAAGGGAAAGTGAAAGGGGTAGGGGAAAGGAAAGAAGGAATGGAATTAATATGAGAAAATGAAAAAAATGGAAACAAAGTGTTTGTAAATAGGGAGTGGTGGAGGGGCTGAAGGAGAGGCAGGAGAATGGGGAAAAAATAAGAACCAAGATAGAGTATGTAAAGGTTCAAAATCCTAATGATCAATGTCATTATATTGTATACCTAAAACGTTTCAATAAAATTAATAATATTAAAAAAATCTTCTGGAATCCTTAGGAAGCCAACAGGCTAAAAATAACTATGAAGAGAAATACAAGAGGGAGGAGATAAAAATGGAAGGGGCAGAGACAACAGTTGTGAGATGAAACAGATTGCTGGGGATAGACTGTGAACCCCAGGTTCTCTCTCTCCCCAGAGACTCTTGCAAATTAGGAATAAAAACAGAATCACTGAACTAGAGACTGCCTGTCTCTGTATAGGCACCACTTTTGCAAAAGTTTAGATTAAAGGCCTCTCTTTGCTGAACAAAACCTCAGAGCCAAACTGGCTCTGAAGTCCAATTGTTTTTTGTTTTTGTTTTTATTTTGGTCTGGATACATGAGATCATTTCTTGCATAAACAAACCCAAAACCAGCAGCAAAAAATAAAATAGCTGAAATAAAAAGCCGAAAACAAAGACAACAGAAAAAAAAAATCAAACCACAAGCTGGTTTTTTGAAAAAATTGACAAACTTCTATAACATCTGACAAAGAAAACAGAAAAACACCACAACTACCAACCATCTGGAATTAAAGATGGATAACATTACAAATCATAAATTAAAAGATAATAGGGGAATACGTTAAGTAATTAATTACATACTCATAAACTTGACAATTTGATGAAACAAGTAATTCCTTTTAGTAGTGTGTACTAGCCACAAACTACTAAAACCAAAGAAACTGATAAACAGTACTATATCTATCAAAGAAACAAAATTCAAAAGTTTAAAATATTCTGAAAAGGAAAGTCAGGCCATATTTTGTTCATTTGAAAAATAACTCTAGGAGCAGGGGATTTAGCTCAGTGGTTCTGGTGCTGCCTCACAAGCTCATGGTCCCAAGTTCGATCCTCAGTAGCAAAAAAAAAAAAAAACACCTCTAGATAGCCAAACCTTTCTGGATTTTGAGGGACCACTGCAAATCCAGATAGATAGAAGTGAAAGGCTGGGGCACTCATTTGAAGGAAAAAAACACCAACTTCTGGAAACTGGGCATTTGTATTTTAAAGGGGTAGCTGCCAAAGACCCAAGAAGGAAGATTAGGTCAAAACCATGCTTAAGGTCAGAATCCCAAAAGGTATTATTTTTGGTGGGTTACCTAAGGAGGGAAAATAAACAACTCTCAGAGAGGAAGACAACAGTGTTTTGATGCCAGAAAGAAAAAAAAAAACTTTTTTGACAATTCCTGACCTAGTACTAGCCCATACTCCTATTTAGGGCCTGAAAAACCCAAATAAAAATATAGTTTATTTTAAACTACATTTTTTATCTTTTAAACTATATTTTTAAAACTGTATTTTAAAAACATAATTTCAGTAGGGCAGTGAAGTAGGTCCCAGGTACATGGCAAAAGCAAATGTAAACACACTTAACCTCATTTAAATAGCATACAAAACCAAAGAATACCCATAGATAAAACTTTACAAAACAACTGGTTGATTAACTCAGTCAGAGCATGGTGGTGAAACTTCACAAAATATGTTCACACACAAAAATCAGTGAAATCACACACCACACCAAGAGTGTGATCTGAAGAAATAAGGACACACTAAATCAGAACCACAAAAGTATAGATAGTATACTGGACACTGAATATATGTTTAATAAATTTAAGGAAATAAAAGACGGAATCAGGGCCAAGGATTTAGCTCAGTGGCACCGCGCCTGCCTGACAAGCACAAGGCCCTGAGTTCGATTCCCAGTACTGGGGAAAAAAAAAGATGGAATCAAAGGTGAGATGATAAAAGAAAACAAGAAACTATGAAAAATGATAAAGCTATTTTAAAGAAAAGAAAAAAAGAATTTAAAATTGAGAAACTATGATAAAAATAACATGTTAAAGTTGGTTCAATAGTAAAGTAGATTGTCTTTAGAAAGAATGAATGAGTTAAAAGGTAGATCTGAAGAAATCACCTAGCCATTTGAGAAACAAAGGATGAAACACACACACATGCACACATACTCACAAAGAACAGATAAGATAAAACAGGAGAAAAACATGGAAGCTGTTCAATGTGAATTATATAAATAAGGAATAAGAGCGTGTAATTTCTAAACTGACATCCTGCAAGAGAGGAAAGAGTGAGAGCAAATGAGAGACGCTGTTGTCAAAAGGCCTGAGTTATAATTCTAGCTCATCACTTACTGTACAACCTAGGGCACATTATTTAACTTTTCTAAGGCACAGTTTTCTCATATGTAAACAGGACAATAATGCAGACCTCCTACAAATGTTGACTATTAAACAAAATCCAAACATACACTTCACACAGAACTCAATAAATACCACTTATACTGGGAATTAAAAAAGGTTTTTGCGGGGGTACCAGGGAACAAACTCACGACCTTGCACTTGCAAGGCAGGTGTGGTGCCATGGCGCTAAATCCCTGGCCCCAATTAAAAAATAATTTAAAAAATTTATTTGCAAAGTATGTAAAATAAAACAGTATTTTTTCTTTAAATGAGGTTCTATGTTGCCCAGGCTCATTTCCAACTTCTGATCCTTTTACCCTTGGCCTCCTGAATAGCTGGGATTAGAGGCATTCACCTCTGTGCCCCATGAAAATCGGGGTTAAGACAGAAAAAAAAAACCTACCCAGGTAATAATTTAATTTCCTAGTCTGTGGAAAGGAAAAACAGGTTATCTGACCTTACATGATCTGTCAATTCTGCTGACACAATTCTTAGAGTAGATATAGTCAGTCACTCTAGATATCCCTCTGGTTCATTTTCCACCCATTCCTCCCAAATTTGTAAGCACTCAAGAGGAGAAAAGATACTATTCCAAATCTCTCATCTTAAATTCTGCTTTGTGAAAAAAGAGAAAGAAACAAGAAAACCACATACTTACTTTTCATTAGTTTTCCTGATAATTCTTTTAGTGGAGAAGAGGGACTGTTTCTACTGGCTATTGTAAGTCTGGAGGAAAATTCTTGAGTTTCCATGGAAACTGGATGAGTTCCTCCTCTAGCCATTTCAAGATGGAAAGAATAGGTACTGTCACATTCTTGGGAAAGCAGCAAGTGATTGTGACTGCTGTTAGTTCTATTATTCAGGTTGATTGCTTCTGACTGAGTCATAAGCAATTGAGCTGCACAAGAATCTTCCAACCTCTTGTCAAGGGACTCAGTTGTAAAAGATGCTGAAGTTCCGTGCTTTTTAGATGGAGAGACAGGCTCAGCCAGTGAGCTCTGCTTCACTGTGTTCAGACTGTGTGCTCTTATTCGGGACCAAGTTGTAGAGTGAAAACTCTCAGCCTCTACCCAAAATTTAACCAAATGTTCCATTCTTCGAAGTTCCATGAATTGAATGAAATATGGGAGGACAACAGTGTCATGCAAGACTTGATCAAGGGTTTTTGAAAGACTTGATTTGGTCTCTTGAGTCTGGTAGTCCAGACAAGATCTGCCTAAAAGAAGCAAAAGAATCAGCAATTTAGTCACAAATAATTTCAGATTGAAAGGTAAGTCAATCACCTTTAACAATAGTGTTATCAGAGGTTTGGAATAAAGTTTATTTCCAGGCAACTAAAATGAGTAAAGAACTGGAAATACTATAATTTGGGTTTCTAAGCAAAGAAACAACCGCCCAAAACTTATTTAAATTACTAAAAAGTACTTTATTACTCAATCCTTATATTTCCTCTAGTGGCAATTCAGACCACATAATTTCTTAAAGGAAAAAGATCTTGTGATACTATTCCCAAAGAAAAAGGGCCACTACAAATATAAAAAAGTATGCAACCTCATTAAAAACCCCAGAAGAGGCCAGGATTGGTGGTGACACCTGTAATCTCAGCACTCTGGCAGCTGAGACAGGAGGATCACCGCAAGTTCAAGGCCAGCCTGGACTACATAGTGAGTTCAAGAGCATCTTGAACTACATAGTGAGATGGTGTCTCAAAAATCTAAATTAAAAAATAAATCTAGAAGAGAAAGGCAAATTAATACAAGATAACATTTTTGCCTATCAAACGGGAAGAAGATTTTTCAAAAAAAATAATAAGCCTAATAAGGTATAGAGGCAACACTCTCACATACTGGTGATGAGAATATAAAATGACAAAATCTTTATAGAGGAGCATTCAGGCACACACAGTAAATCCTTACCAAACTGTATAATTTTCAGTCTAGTAAGTACTTGTGGGCACTTATCCCAGAGAAAAACTGTTGATGTATGGATATAACTATATAAAGATCTTATGAAGTCTCAGCATTATTTATAACAGAATGAAGAGTAGCTTTGGGATCTTATCTTAAAAAATGAAACTAAATTTAATAAAAGATACATTTATTTTAGCTAAATTTAGGTTATTATAACCACAAGCTAACTATTAGAATAAACAAAAAAGTTAAAAAAAAATTTGGCCTTCACAGCATGTCATAAAATGGGTCATTTTGATAAAATTAACTAGGGTTTCAATGATTTTCCTAAAAGGATTTCCTTCATCCTTTAATACTCAGATCAACTGTTTTGAAGCACCTCACGCCATCACCTTTAGTAACTGTCCTATTGCAAAATGATATTGTCCATCTTTGACATTACTTCATGAATTTGAGGAAATCCTAGTTTTGTCAAGGCTTGGAATTTCTTTTAACTAGAGAGATCGCTTCTTTTAATTATAAATTTACATCCAGTTATAAGAAATAATACAGAAAGATCATTTGGAGGGCTAGCAGTGTAGCTCCATGGTAGAACACTTGCTAACATGTATAAGGCCCTAGAGTCCAGCCCCACCACCACAAAAAAAAGAGAAAAAGATCCCTTGAACCTTTTAGCTTTCCACATGGTAACATCTTCCAAAACTACAGTACAGTATTATACCAAGGTATTAACACTGATACATTTCATTACTTTTACTGGATTTCCTCAATTTTACTTCATGTGTGTGTATGTATTTAATTTTATCGTATATATATATCTATATCTACTGTCAAGATACAGCAATGTTTCAATACCAAAAGGGGCCCTGGGGTGGGGATTTAGCTCAGTGGTTTCACCTCCTGCTGTGCAAGCCTAAGGACCCAAATTCAATCCCTAGTGTGAAAAAAAGGGGGGGCCCTCAAGTTGCCTCCTTTGTAAACATACTCACCTTCCCCTCTCACTTCTGGCAAACACTAATCTGTCCTGCATGTCTCTAACTTTGTCATTTCAAGGATGTAAATACAAATAGAATAACGCTACACTGTAGGGATTGGCTTCTGTCTCAAAATAATACCCTCGAGATTACTCTTTTTATTCCTAAGAAGTATTCTAGGATATGAATGTACTAGTTCACTCGCCTGCTGAAGGAAATTCACTTTTTCACTAATAAGTTGACACAAACATTCCTGTACAAGTTTTTGTGCGAAAATAAATTTTCATTTCTCTGAGATAAATGTCTAAAAGTGCAATTAATGAGTCATATGGTAACTTCATGTTTAGCTTTATAAGAAGCCTCCAAGCTATTTTCCTAAGTGGCTATATCATTGAACATTCCTACCAGGAATGCATCCAGCGAAAAATTACTGTTTTGTGATGAATAAGCACTTCACAGTGTATTGGTGTGCATGACCCACAAAGATTCTGACATCCTCCCTGGCTTTGACTATACATAAATGTTAAACAGAGAGATGCCAAAAGTGAGAGAAATTTTATTAGAAGCAATTCATTCATGGATTTTTTTTTTTCAATTTATGACAATGTGACATGCAATTTTTTTTTGTTTTTGCTGTTGTTGTTGTTGTTTTGTTTTTGTAGTACTGGGGATTAAATTTAGGAAATTCTCACTGAGCTGCCCAGGGTGAGCTAAAACTTGCAATCCTTCTGCCTCAGCCTTCCAGAGTGCTGGAATTATAGGCATATACCACCACATCCAGCTTTTTAAGTGAAGAAATTGGAGTAACAAATACTCAAAGACCTTCTGCATATCTCTTTACTGGGGGGGTATTTTAACGTAACAGGGATTTTACCATACACACTGTACTCAACTACTCTTTTCACTTTCACCTGGCTATTTTATTTATTTAATTTGGTTTTTTTTCCTTAAATTCTTTTATTGGTACATTTTAGGTATACAACACATTTACATTTCTCATTGGGAACTTGTACCTTTACATGATGTATCTTGGTTCTTATTTTTTTGCCATTTAATTTGGTTTTTTTGAGACAGAGTCTCACTATGTAGTTCAGGCTGATCTTGAACTCATGATGTATCTATTCTAGGCTGGCCTCGAATTCTCAGTTCAGCCTCCTGCCTAAGCCTCCAAAGTACTGGGACTGCAGGCACCACCACCCCCAGCTCTTCAAATGTCTTTTTTAGACTTTCAAACAACTACACCATATTCCAGAGTATGAGTACACCACAGTTTGACTATTTCTCTATTAACATGTATTTATATATTGTTTCTCATTTTTTGCTATCACAAACAATACTATAAATTGTCTTATACATACTTTTTTTTTGGTACCGGGGATCAAGCTTGGGACCTTGCCGGCCCTTATACGTACATATATATACATCTTTGTGCATACCTGATGGCTAAATCTTAGAAAGAGAAGTGTTGTTCAAATGGCACTCATGTGTGCACACACATACACACACAAATAAATACACATGCACATATATACTGTTTGTAGTATCGGGGATTAAACCCAAGAGCATAATATACTAGGAAGGTACTTTACCACTAAGCTATACCCTAGATCTTTTTTATTCGTACTTTTTTTTTTTTTTTTGGTACCGGGGATCAGGTCCTTGCACTTGCACAGCAGGTGGCGAAACCACTGAGCTAAATCCTCAGTCCTCTTACTGTATTTTGAGACAGGGTCTTGCTAAATTGCCCAGGCTGGACTCAAACTTGCAATTCTCCTACTTCAGCCTTGTGAGTAGCTGGAATTACAGACCTGTGGCACCACTCCTGGCTATATCTTATATTTCAAAAATATTTTCAAACTGACTGCGCTCCAAAAAGTCATCAATTTATATTATCATTAAATGGGAGTGGCCATTTCCTTGCACCTCTATGAACATCCAATTCATCAAATTTAAATATATGCTAGTATGTTTTAACTGTTTTAATTTGCTTTTCTGTATTACTGAAGTGAAGCATCTTTTTCATGTATTTTTAATTAGTGGTCAAATGTATTTCTTCTTCTGGAAACTGCTTATGTTTCTCCTGCCCATGCTATATATTTTATATTTATTGGAACTTAATACAGTACCCTCCATTATACTTGTTGCTGATATTTTAGTTTATTTTCTCAAGTCCCTTCCAACAGTATAGGTCAGTTTCCTATAACAGGAGTTCCACATTACTGTACTCATCTCCTTCCCCTACTAGAAGTTAACAAAAAGTCACTTACCCAGGTCCCCAAAGTGAGCAGCCTCCATGTGGCTTGGCTGCTTCTTAAGTGTTGCTGTCCTGCTGCTTGAAAAGGAGTCCATGTTGGCAGAAATGGCATTGATTGCAACATGACTTGGTCCTGCAGCCTCCAGCAAGGCATGATTTTTAGTACTTTTTTGTGGGGAATGTACAGCTATGGAAGCTATAATTTTTCAAACAAAATGTTAAACACAAAGCTTAGCATAATTTGGTACTCTAGAACTCAAAGGGTTTTAAGAAAACCTTAAAAAATTAAATTTTGTAATAATTTGTTTAATCAGCACACAACAAAAAACTCAGATGAAAGGTAACTCAAACAGCAGAAAATTGGAAAGAAAACACTAATATTATTTATAAATAAAAATAGTGTACCAAAAATTAAATGAGAGAGAGAGAGAAAGAGAGCTCCTTCGAGAAATTTGTCTATAACAGACAGAAAGTACCAAAGCAAGAGAGCCTTCTGAAATATGGACCCTTTTCAATTCCTTAATTGCTTCAGGAACAAAACTAAAATTGCAGAATGCTTAGGAGAAAATAAAAAAACCTAGAAAAATATTCCTCAGGATACTTTTAATTGAGTAACAAAATTTCTCCATCTAACAAAATACACTGATGATCAAAGTTCAAGCTGCCTAAAGATAAAGCACGCTTAAAATGTACAAAATACAGATTAAGGATATAGCTCAGAAGTAGTGTGCTTCCCTCACAATGGTTAGGTAGACTCTGGATTTTATCCCCTGCATCACCAAAACAAAAAAAATTACAAAATGTATTTTTTTGGCCAGGTGTGATGGTCCATTCCTGTAACCCCAGTACTCTGGGAGGCTAAGAGGATCAAGAGTTTGAGCCCAGCCCAAGCAATCTGGCAAGATTCTGTTTCAAAAAACAAACAAACAAAAAAACAAAAAGGAGTTGGGGATGTAGCTCAGTGAAAAGGCCCTGGGTTCACTCAATATTGCAGATTTTTTTCTTTAGTAGTCTGAAAAACATTAGCATTACCTTTTTGTTTGTTTGTTTGTTTTGGTACTGGGGATCAAACTTGGGACCTTGTGCTTTCAAGGCAGGCAGAGGAACCACTGAGCTAAATCCCTAGCCCTTATCTTTTTTACTTCAGAATAAAGGATTTACATACTAAGTGTTAATAAGAAATAACAATATTATAACACTCAAAGTAACCTTACATCACTACAGCTGAATTAAAACTCTACCTATCCTAATCATTTCACATAAGTATTAAGGAGTTTGTGTGTGTTTTTTGAGACAGGATCTCATTGTGTAGTTCAGGCTGGCTTTGAACTCACAGCCATTCTCCTGCCTCAGCCTCTCGTGCTAGGATCACAGTGTGCACCAGCACACCCAGCTTAATGACTTACAAAAGGATCTTTTAAATTTCAGCATAGGGACTAAACACAGAGCCTCACAAATGTTAGGCCAGGACACTACAGCCCTTTCTGTTATTTTCTATTTTTTGACAGTGTCTCCATAATTGTCCAGGCTGGTCTCCAACTTTCAATCCTGCTTCAGCTTCCCAAACAGCTGAGATAACAAAGGTGAGACACCATGACCAGCTGATGAAAACTTTAAGAATGTCTCAGTCACTTTCCTGGTTGCTGGGACAAAATACCCAATACACACAACTTAAAGAAGAGGTTTATTTTGGCTCGTGTTTCAGTCCATAATAAGCAGGCTCTAAGGTAGGGTGGCACAGCACAGGCTGGTGGAGGAAAGCTGTTCAGCTCATGGCAGCCAGGAAGCAGAGATGCACTCTTCCAAGCCATATCCTCACTGATCCTCCTCTTTCAAGCAGGTCTTGCCTTCTCCTAACATCACATTTAGCTATAATGTTCCCATGATCCAAGTATCTTTCCAAAGCCCCACCTTTGAGCACACCAGGCTTTGGGGAGACATCCAGATATAAACTGTAACAGAGACATTTCAGCTTAGTATACTGCTATAGCAAGAAATGAAACAAGTCACTTAACATTACATGTCTAATGATAAAATACTCTAAAATAACTAAAGTTGTCACTCTTAGCACCCCCGTAAGTGCTCTCAGCATATGGTCCCAGATGCAAAATCTGAGTAATACTAGGTAGGACTTATGAAGGCTACTAGTACTACAACTCAATCGGTGACTCTTAGAGATATGTTTATAGGCTAAAGCATATAAGAATGTGAATATCCATAACTGCTTACCAGGTATTTAAATTTGCCAGCCATTCAGTAAGAATTTTGAGAGTTGTGAAGTGGAGAGTAACTGCCTTCATACCGTTTGCTCAATTTCAGAAGAAAGCTTTGTGTTTATTTTCATATTAAAGGGAACAAAATCATTTTAACAAGTTTATAAACAATAGCTAGTTTTCTGGTACAGTCAACAAACTACAAATAAGATTCTATGGGAATGATGAGACTTTCTAATTGTTTCTTTTTGAGCAGAAGGCTTATCAAAAGACATTTAATACAATTAGTTTTCAACAACCCGTTGGTGGTCCACATCTACAAGATATCCAGCCCAACTCGACCCCACTCCAAACCCCGACCCCACTCCAAACCCCGACCCCACAGAAAAGCACATACTTACCAGAATTTTTAGCAAGTATGGTTTGGAAATTTGTTTTTGTTTTTAAAAAAGGTCCCTAGGGCAAGTTATTTACAGTTTAATTGCCACTGTTAACTGATCTGGACCTGGACCTGGACCTCTGCCAATGCACAGATGCTGGAGACTTAGATCTACTTGAAGAACCACCTTTCTGGCTCTTCTCAGGCGCAGGAGACCTACTAACAGAATGGGACATGCTCCAACTCCAGCTCTGACTTCTTGGCCAGCTGTAAGACTTGTGACTATGGGAACAAGATTGGCTACGGGACCTAGAGGAACTCCTAGTCTGTGATCGAGACCTGCTTCTTGACCTATTGTGCCTTTTGCTGCCTTCAACTAATTTGATTTTTCACCCTTTTATTTCCTTTCCAGAAAGTTTTTCAATAGCATTCTTTAAGTCACAGTAAGAGGCAAACTCAATCAACCCTTTATTTAACTTAGGTCTGTGTGCATCCTCAAAGGCTACTTCCCCAGCTTGTCTCATGAAATCTTTGAGATCCTGACAGCTGACTCGGAAGGATAAATTCTCAACTCTAAGTCAATTTTCTGTTCTTATAGGTGGAGCACTTCATCTATCATTTCGGGGTCTGTGACTACAAAATGATCAGAGTATTGTCCTCTATCTCTTCCTCCTCGAGACTGAACCCCTAGCATGTTCAATAGTAACCCTTTCACTACAAAGTTCTTTTCCATCAAGTTCATACATAGCATCATCCGCATCCCTTGGATCCTCAAATTTCTAAAATAGAGCTTAACATGCTTATTGGGGCTTCAAGCATGCGTTTTCACAACACAGTAGGTACACTAAAACCCACAAAACCAAACCCTCTTTTCAAATCAATATCCCTGATCCATCCACAACCCTTGAAGAATCTTTCCATGTCATTCTCCCTAGCTGCTAGATTTAACTTCCTGACGATGAACACTTGACAGCCACTCATGACCTCCAGCTAGTGTGCCCTACCAGACAGGCTCTTTGGTGGCTGAAATGCAGAGGCCCGTAGTCTGCAACAGAGTCTTCTACCTCCCTGAAGACCAGGGCACACCTCCACTAACTGCTTCTTAATTCGATGTCTATGATAATGTAAAATTCTATTAAATCATTTGTACAGGGCTTTTCTCTCCTCCCTTAAGTTCTGTTAGAATGAGTACTTCATATTTACCTGCTCCTTCCTGTTAGCCTATCTTAACTTGGTCTCCCTAATTTCTTCTTCTATCTATTTATCTTTCTCCTTCTTTTACTACATTAAATGCCTACTGTGTCAGATATGGTCTTCTTTGACTCCTCTTCTTCCTATGGCTGTTGATTCTTTTTGATAGAAAGCACGTTTATTCACAAACCTTCATATATTGCTAAAACAATAGCTTTCAAAGTTTTTTTTTAAGCTGTAAGCTCCTTTTCTCACACACCCTCCTCCATAAACAATAATATATAGGTCATGATTTGTCTGCAAAATAGGTAAAGCCAAAGTAACCGCTGATTCAAGAGAAGAGTTACTCATGCCTCAATGTAGACACTCTAAGCAACAACTCCTAGGCCATGCCTCTGTGAAATGGCTAGAGAACACCTGAGCAGTACCTCAGACCTGTCGTTTGATCTGGGATCAAGCACTGTGTCTCTAATTATTTACTATTTAGGCATTCCCACTTTGACGTCGCCATCTCAAGCCCAACTTATTCAAATATCACAAATGTTACATATTCTAAACTAATTTTTCTTTCTACTTTTCCTTTGTCCACTCCACCAGTCTCCAAATTTCAACCTTGTGGTCCCATTCTTATCTGTTACTTGCTAAAATCTGTCGTCATTTTCTTCAAGATGTTTAGTTTCAACACCACACCCCTGGTACAGGTCCTTTTGTATTACAAAAGAACTTCCAAGGCCTCCATCCCACATAACCCTTCCAAAATGTCCTTTCATAAACACCCATACATACATCATCAGTATCCTGTTCAAAAGCCTATGATGGCCACTTTTTGTCTGTTTCAACTTTCCTTTCTAGTCTTTACAGCTCTCAATAACATTATCTCAATCTTTCTGTAAAAATTGTCCTTTACTTGTCTGAAGGCCTCTCTGCCAACATATAAATCCACCAAAAAAAATGTATACATACTTCAGGAAAAGAAAAAAAGTATGATGCGTTTTCAACAGATGGTGTTACCCTTGTATGGGGGAACCTAGAGGACGTCATATATTGCAAAAAACCCACTACACTGCCCTTAGAGAAGAAACTGAAAATGCATGTGCAGCAATCTCAATGATCAAGGTTACTCAAGTAGCAGTTCTCTGTACTAATAAATGTTTAGAAGCTAATGGCCATCACTTTGAGCACCTCTTGTAATCGTAGAGGCCAAAGGTAACTTGCATTAATATCATTATGCCTCAATAAATTCAGTATGAAAATATTTATACAAGTTTTTCTTTTCCTGAAGTGTGTATACATTTTTTCGTGGATTGTGTATACTCAAAGAAACAAAAGGCTAAGGTGGCAGGAGAAGAAAAAGAATCTTTTCATTCATTCAAATCCATCTTTTAATGATTTGTATCTAGATGTTCTCCCAAAGCCTCATATCCTCATATGTGGGGATTTGGGGAGGTAGTGGATCATAGGGGTGTGTCCACGGATGAATGTACAGTTAAATGTGATGCTAGAGGAAGAGGGTCTCTGGGAGCATGACCTGGAAGGGTATCCCTCCCTCCCTCTTCCCTCACCTCTTTCTGGTTCCCACTGCCACGCTATGAGCTATTTCTTTGCTGGCATACCCCTCTGCCATGCTGCCCTGCCTTGGAGCCAGCCGACATGGACTGAAACATCTACAAACTGTAGGTCAAAATAAACCTTTTCTCCTTTAACTTGTGGATGTCAGGTATTGTGTCTCAGTGATGAAAAGGTAACTAAGACACATCTTATACTTCAACTTTTATATTGGGTAAGTTTCATTTCCATGAAGTCCTCCCTAAGCTTCAGAAATCACTTGCTGCTCTCAACTTTCTTTGAACTCCTCACAATACTTCACTTAATTTGACTAATTCAACACTAGATGCCTACTATGTTAAAACTAGATAGGGCCGAGGATTTAACTCAGTGGTTCTGCCTCCTGCCTTGTAAGCACAAGGTCCTGAGTTCGATCCCCAGTACCCCTGCCCCCCCAAAAAATACCACTGCAGAGCCAGGCATGGTGGCACACACCTGTGATCCCAACACTTACAGAGTGAGGCCCTGTCTCAAAAAAAACACAACACAGCAGAGATTATAATCTAAACCTAGCACATTCTAACCTAGAAATAAGGAAAAGGTATTGATGCCAATAAAATACTATGAACAAATTTTAAATTAAAGCCATTCATCCAAAGTAATAAATAAAAGCTACAATCATCCACATTTCTGAATAAACACAAAACCAAACCTTACAGGAACATTTTCTCTCAGTTGTCAAACTGCTGAGTTGAGTAGCCTTCATTTTTGCCTTACTGAATAAAGTCAACTAATCACTTTTGGAGAACAATCAAATAGATGACTAATGATGAGGGGACTGGTTTACTGTAATCACTAGTTCAGTCAATCAATGTTCAGTAAAAAAAGCCTATTACATCTTACCTGTTAAAGAAGATACAGGTTAAAGAGGGATGTAAATCACAATCATAATTATAAAGCAAAGCAGAAGATAACAGGATTAAAGAGCTCATAAATGCTAAGCACTTTTTTTTCTTTCTTTTTTGGTTCTTGAGACAGGGTCTCCCTGTGTAGTTCAGGCTGGGCTTGAACTCACTATGTAGTCCATGCTTGCCTCGAACTTGTGGTGATCCTCTTGAGCGCTGGGATTACAAGTGTGCACGCCCACCTCATTCCTTTTTTTTCCAGTACTGGCAATCAAACTCAGGACCTTTCATTTGCCAGGCAGGCATGGTGCCACTGAGCTACATTCCCAGCCCTCATTACATTTTTTTTTTTCTTTTGGTACCGGGGATCGAACTCAGGACCTTGTACTTGCGAGGCAGTCAGCAGAATCACTGAGCTAAATCCCCAGCCCACATGACTTTTGAATACAATGAAATGTCAGCTAAACTCACCTTTAATGGACTTGACATCTGAGGTCTTCTCTTCTTCTTTGCCTTTCACTACAAGACAAAAGGGCATTATGACCAACTTTTCCAGCCAAAGAGATCCTTTCCACATACTGTAAAAATCAGAGGTTTATTCTAATGGATAAGTATTCAAAGTTGCAGAATAATGGACTATCTTGTAGGGGGACAGAGAAGGGCAGTTGTCAGAGAAGGTTTCCCTAAGGAAGTAACCACTGAACAGCAGTGCAAAAAAAAAAAATTGGGAAAATGTAAGGAGACACAATATGGTCACAACATCTGTGTTCAAATTCTTCCTTTGCCCCTTTTTAGCCATGCAATCTTGGGGAAAAGTTGCTTCACTGGGTTTAAATTTCCTTGATTAATAAAATTAGGTCAACAGTAAAACTTTATACTCATGAAACAATATATACCTGTAAAAGGCATCTGGAGAGTAACTAGTACAGTAAATTTAGGATATATGTTAACTAATACTACCACAAAGGGTTGGGGATTTGGCCCAGTGGTTCTGCCGCCTGCCTCACAAGGGCAAGGTCCTGAGTTCGATCCCCAGTACCAAAAAAACCCCACAAAAAAACAAATATTACCACAAGCTATCCACTATACTTAGCTATTATAAGCATCACACACACAAAAAAGATTTCTTTGGTGGTGTATCTTGCTTCTTTGTATTTCCCTCACAGCTATCAAATACAACCATTTAAAATTACAAACACTCTAAATTTCTAACACTCAAAGTCAAACAAGTTGGCTCAAAATTGATCTTTCCTTTATTATACAAAATAGTGAAAATTATATTGCAGATAAGCTAACAACAAAACACCCAGGAATAGATACACAGCAGCTTAAGCAAAAGGTGAACTTTATTACAGGATCTGACAGAAGACTATTTTTAATCCTATTTTCTTGTTTTTCTTCCAACAGTAAACTGTATTATCAAAAGCTTATTGGGCTGGGGATTTAGCTCAGTGGTTTCGCTGCCTGCTGCGCAAGCGCAAGGACCGGAGTTCGATCCCCGGTACCAAAAAAAAAAAAAAAAAAAGCTTATTGAGGGCCAGGGATTTAGCTCAGTGGTTCTGCTGCTTGCCTTGCAAGCACAAGGACCCGAGTTTGATCCCTGGTACCAAAAAAAGAGAGAGAAAAAAAAGTTAATCCAAAAAAAAAAAGCTTATTGAAATGAATCCTCAAACATATGTATCTCTCTACCTGTGCTCTTAAATACTAAAAGTTGAAGTCTATCCACCAACCATTTGAGTGCCTAGCATGTGCCAAAGAGACATTGGCAGAAAAGGCAACAATCAATACTGAACAGTTTCTCTGTGTGAGAAACTGAAAGTGTAAACAAGAATCAAAATGTATAATACATAATATGAAATAGGAAGAAAAGGTCCAAAGGGGAAGGGGAAGGGGAAGTGGGACGGGTACGGGAAAGGAAAGGGAGAGGAATAAATATGAGAAAATAGAAACAAAGTCTGTGTAAATAGGGAGGCGTGGAGGTGTTGAACAGAGGGCAGGGGAATGGGGAAAAAAACAAGAACCAAGATATATTATGTAAAGATACAAACTCCCAATAATGTCAGCATACTGTATACCTAAAATGTACCAAAAAAGTTAATGTAAAAAAAAAAGAAAAGGCAGCAATCTTGCCTTCAAGTCTACATTTAGCCAGTGACACATGCCTTCAATCCCAGCACTCTGGAAGGCTGAGGTAGGAGAATTCCAAGTTTGAGCCCGACCGAGGGAATTTAGTGACTTAGTAAGACCCTGTCTCAAAATAAAAAATAAAAAGGGCTGAGGACACAGCTCAGTGCAAAGGCCCTGGGCTCATTCCCCAGTACTGAAGAAGAAAGAAAGAAAGAAAGAAAGAAAGAAAGAAAGAAAGAAAGAAAGAAAGAAAGAAAGAAAGAAAGAAAGAAAAAGAAAGAAAGACAGACAGACATTCAAAGGTGTGGAGAACATAAGTGAGATCATCTCATGGAAAAAATTAGCAAGATCATCTCAGGTAGTGATCACTGTTGTCAGGAAGATAAAATACGAAACGTGGTAGAGTGACTGCTATCTGCACCCCTCTCAGCAGCATTTGCCAAGCAACTGCATCTCTCACTTGAAACATTAACCTGTCTTGTCTTTCATGACACTCCACTCTCCTCCTGGTTTTCTAGCTGCTCCTTCTCAATTTTCCCAATTGCTGACCTCTCTTTCTTCAACCACTGGGAGTTTTTCAGAAAAAAGGGTGGTTGTCTCTTTTCACTATATATACATATGTACTTTCTGACTAATCTTCCCTAATCTTTTAAAAAAATGTATTTTTAATTTTCACTGACAGAATAGTTGGACATATTTGTCAGCTACAGAGTGACATTTCACATAGCTAGCCACCTACCTGCCTGGGAATGTATCTTCTTTTTCTCAAACCTATTTCTACCTCTGTCTTCATCTTCTCATTAACTGACACTATCAGCTGCCAGATACTTGGCCTAAAGTCTGGAATTCATCCTCGACACTGTCTCTCCCTCACATGCCATGTCCCAACTAGTTCTAAAAACAAGTGATTCTACCACCAATATACCTTTGTAGCTCCACTTCTGCTACCCTCAAAACATTCTCCTCTCAAAGAGCTCTCCCATGTTAATAATTCAAACATGGAATTGCACATACAACCTACCAATCAAAACTACCATTTTGCTCTATTTCCTCTTTCCTTTTTATAAATGTAGCTTAGGAGCTGGGGATTTAGCTCACTGGCACCATGCCTGCCTCGAAAGTGCAAGGTCCCAAGTTTGATCCCTAGTATCCCCTCGACCCAACAAAAAAGAGAAAAAAATTGCTTCTTGGCCTTCTGGCTAAGATCAAGTGTATAGGACTGGGGATTTAGCTCAGTGGTTCCGCCACCTGCCTCACAAGCGCAAGGTCCTGAGTTCGGTCCCCGGTACCAGAAAAAAAAAAAAAGAAGGTAAGATCAAGTGTATAAATGTAGCTTAAAGTTTCTATAAATTACCACCTGGCCCTATTGCTCTTCCTCTCTTCCCAAAGTTAAGTTCTAACATAAATATTTTCCTGCCACGAGGGTTTTAAGACCATAATTTATTACCATAAAGAATGCAAAAATAAATAAATAAAATAAAACCTATGGTATTATTGTACACATCTTTTAAAATTACACAAATAAGGGATTGGAGGTACAGCTCAATTATAACAGTACTTGCCTAGCATGCCCGAGACCCTGGGATCAATCCACAGTACAAAAAACAAAAACAGCTACAATTGGTATCTACATATCTGACCTATACTGTACATGCAGTTTTGGGTCATTCATGTAGTTTTAGTCATTTTAATCTATTTGTTTCCTTTATAAATATAAGGGAAACTTTACCCATTTCCCTATTAATAAACATTTAGTTTATTTCCTAACTTTCACTTACATTGATGTGCTGTACATTCTAGTACATTCTTCCTATGATACATGCAAGAATGTCTCTAGGATAAATCCTTAGTAATGAAATCACCAGATAACAAGGTGCATCTTTAATGTGAACAGTTGCACCAATTCATATGGTAGCCTCGCTTCAAATTCTCATCCTTGACATTTCAAAAATTATTGCCAACTTAACAGTTTTGAAGTTATGTTTTAAATTAATTTTTGTTTCCTTTGATGTTAAGCATCCTTTCACATTTATTGACCATTTATTTAGGTTTTCTCTTTCATGATCTGCCCCTTCAGAATCTTTTACTTAATACTTGTAGAAACTCCATACATAATTTGGATACTCATCTTTTGGTGTTTTTATTACAAATATCCTAGACATTTTATTGCACAAAAGTTTTAATTTTAATGTAATCAAATGTACATTACATCGATTTTCTTGGGCTTATATACACGTGTGCGTGTGCGTGCGTGTGTGTGTGTGTGTGTGTGTGTGTATACATACCCACTCTCCTACCCCAAGATCAGATTCTTTTCCCCGTATATGTGTTCTATATGGTTTTAAGTTTTGCTTTTTCACATTTTGGAGTCTTATCTGCCTTGGATTTATTTTTGTATTATCAGAATTTGGTAAAATATAGCTTGTGGGTGAAATCTAGCTTATTGACAGATTTTTACAAATAAAGTAACAACAGTCATGCCCATTTGTTTAGGTACTGTCTATGGCTACAAGGATAGCGTATAACAGATATTCAAAGGCCTGCAAAGCCTGAAATACATTATTTACTTTCTGACCCTCTACTGAAAAAATTCACTGTTTTTTGCCAGATGGATAACCAGTACAATTTACTGCATAGCCATTCTTTTCCAACTGACTAGGAACTCCTTTTTTTAATATAAAAAGTTCCCATACATACTTGAATTTGTTTCTGTGCATTTGTTTTGAAAATATACCACCACAGTAAAAGAAATGGAAGAAAATCAAATGCAGGTCATAGCAAAACGTGCTTCCTCAGTCTTCAAACAACCAGCTCCCTCTTGACATTTAAGCTAAGATCTGAATGATACCTCCTCATAGGACTGCCTTAGTCACTCAATCTAGAGAGAAATGTCTGCCTGAACCACAGGTAAGAGAGAAAGAGAAATTCAAAGGATGTACTAAAGGTTTAGCCTGACCAATTAAAGGGCAAAAACCTGATGAACAGGTTTAGAAGGACTAAATCTGGAGTTAAATTTTAGATATTATAAATAAACTTGTCAGATAAGAATTTAAAAAGTGGACCAACAGATACACCAGTTTGGATTTAGGAGTGAGGAGCCAAGTTGTAAATACAAATTTGGGAGTCATAAACATATCGGTGATATTTAAGGATGGTATTAAAGTCTGGGTGGGATTCCTCATAAGACTGTCTCCAGCTTCTACTCTTGCCACATCTCATCTTCATAAAGCTGCTAGAATGATCTTTTTAAAACATAAGATCAGATCACTCCTTTTTTAAAGCCTTTAAAATAATTTTTTCTATATGTGAAATAAAACCTAACCATGGCCTATGAAGTTCTCAATCATTGATCCTTGCTATCTCTCCATTCCCCCATCGCAGTAGTAGCCTTCTTGAAGGCCCATTATGCTCCTCCTTCCCTGTTCCTATTGTCCCCAGGCCTCTCTAAATTATCTCCTGCTTAATCCTTTAGCTTTGCTTCAAAATCATTTGCTGAGTCCTTTCTCTAACATCCAACGAAAATGTTTCTCAAGTTACTCATTCAGTACACTTTATTCTATTTCTAAGTTCATCCCCCCACCCCCACACACAGAATTTATTTGCTTATTTATTTGTGTATGGCAGCCAACAATAAGCTCCAAAGATGTAGGGTCTCTATCTTGATTGCTCAATCATGCAGGCCTAGCCCAGTGCCTGATTAAAAGTATTTGTTGAATAAACAGGCAACAGTCTCTTGTGCAACAAGCAATTAGCCTCATTATTCTTAAAATGTTTTTTCCTTAAAAAAAACAAAACACCTAGGGCCGGGGATTTAGCTCAGTGGTTCTGCCACCTGTTTGATCCCCGGTACCAAAAAAACAAAAACAAAAACAAAAAAACCCTAAGCACTTCAACACTGTCAAACTATATATAGTTAACTAAGAATAGCCCTCTCCAGAGAGCTATTACTGTATCAAAGGTACTTACTAATAAAGCTTTTGACCATTTACCAGTTTCATTCATCACCTAGCATCAGTTACTGAGCCCCTGCCTTTACTGAAGAGGAATTCCTTAGTTACTGCTGAATGGCCCTTTAGGAATTACTTGGTTTTCAGGTAAAGAAGAGAGAAAAATGAGTTAACTTGCTTGTCCTAGGTTACACAGTAACAGTTCTCCTGTGAACTCAAGCCTGATGTAGTTTAGTGCTTTTTTAAAAGTCTGTTTCTGTCTGGTACACTTTCTCCAAAGCAATAAGAATTGACAGGGTAACAATTATCAGCCGAAGAGACTCACTTGCTCACTTTGATATGTATTTAATATGCAATAACCTTCCTGGGATCAAAACCATGCTGCCTTTAAAAATTATCAGCTCTTACAACTGAAAATCAGAAACACAAATAGCTCGTTTACTAAGTTAAGGTTCCAGTAGTTAGGAAATTTGCCAAGTCATCAAAAGTAGTCTTCTTCAACAGGAAACTTAGTAGTAAGCACTTTTATTTTAGGAACAACAGTAGACCTTCCCCTTTCCCCCTTCCCCCAAAAAGAGGAAACTGGAAAACAGTACAGTACTAGTTGAAGAAAACAATGTTTTCGTGTGTCGCTTTCAGACATTAAACCCTCAATATTCAGAAAAGTCAGTCTTTCACAATAAAGTACAAAAGTGATTCCTTGATCTTGATCCACAGTACGTGAAAAAGCCAACCAAACAAAAAAACCTGAAAAGCAGCTCTTAAGCAAACCAGCATTAACTTCTATGGGTCTCAGCACACTTTTGGACCAGCGCGACAATACCCTTCTGACCTCTCGCGAGGAGGCCATAGTCTCCCCGTAGAGTCCCGGAACCCAGTAAGGCACCGGGGGGGCGTCTGCGAGGAGGCTGAGAGGCTCACTGAGGGCCTCGCTGTCGCCCTGGAGGAAGCCCTCACAGGCCCACCGGTCCCACCGGTCCCACCGCCACCCCTGAGGCCCGGCCTGGCCCCCTCCGGCGCCTCTCGGCTACCTTTCCATCGGAAGAAGGACATGGCGGGGCCCGGGTCCGGGCGGAGGGCGCGGGGGGACTGTCGCGGAGAGGGCCCGGTTCCCCTCATTCAGCAGTTGGCCCGGACTTCCGGGTTCACAGGAGCCGCCGCACTAGCCCGAAATGAGACCCTTCTTCCGGGTGTCGGCCCCACCACCTCCTCGGGATTCCCAGGCAGCTCCGGCCGCCATATTATCAACAAACCACTCGCCCGGAGTTCCGGTCCTTCCCCGCGCTAGGCTTCACGGGAGGCCAGCCGCCGGCCCCGCCCCCTCCCGGGGGTGCAGGTCCGCGCCGCCCACGTGACCTTGTGCGCCTGTCACTCGTGACCTGGGTCCGGACGCCTCTCGGTCCCCCCGGCCCTAGCCCCCAGGGGAGCGCTGCAGACCCACTACTATGCAAAGTTACTATGCAAAACTACCGTCCTGGAGCTGGAGCCTCCTCGCCTAGAGCTGGGAAGGCGAAGTGCCTCAATTGCGGGGTGCCCATCCGGTGGGCGCATCGCAGTGTGCCTTTCTATAGCATAGAGGCAACACTGCTGAACCTTGCGCTTCGCGGTTTTGCTAAAAAGCGCTGGTTGGCTTACGCACCTTCACCTTGGATGCTCAGCCGCTGCTCTCCCTGGGCAGCAGACCGCTCTAGCGCTGTGTGCGAGGCGAACCAGACCCCTAATGGGGAATAGGCATACCTAACCTGCTTTAGGGGGCTCCCTCCATCATAATGATCTCCGGAGTGAAAAGGGAGAAGTAGGCTTCTTTTCCGAATGCGGTCCCCACGAATGCTTAGATTTGAAAGGGATAGCAACATAGAAGCATCTCCAGTGAATCATCTTTCAAATCTTGTTCGAATGCCATTTTCCTATGAATCTTCTGACCCTCCCTCTATCCTTTAGAGCAAAAAGAATCAAGCTTCCCCATGTGTAGTGTCGCTCACCACCTGATAAGGGCGCTCAGCCACTGGGTGAGTGATAATTATAGAGGCAGTTCTGGCCAGAGAAGGACCCAGAAAGGTAATAACAACTCAGTAAATGTTTGCTGGGTGCTTTAGATCAATGAAGTATTATCCTGGAACAGACCAGGAAACAGATCCATACAGGAGACAACTTGCCCAAGATTGGTCAATGTGTCTTTGTTAAAACTAAAAGCTAGGGTCTTTTTACTGTGTTCCTAGGGCAGGTTAATATACTGCCTGTTTTGTTTGGGGACATGTTTGCAAATGAATGAAAGGTGGTCAGAGCTAACACGCATTGGAAACGACACAGGCAGGTGCTATGCTATACCCTCCAGATTAGTAATAGTCATTAGACAGGGTTTTGGCATTCTCACTGGGCTGGGCCTAAGGAGGTCCTGAAGCTGAAATAAGGATCTTAATCCATGCTCTTATAGAATTAAATTTGCAAGTTTGCTGGCTCCCGCGGAAAAAGAATTTTCAGGATTCGTAAAAGGTACAGGAAGGGGTTTATTAGGCAGAAATTAAAAGTCAAACAGTGCAGCCCCTCAGGAGAGAGGCACTTATTTCCTGGAACAGGAAACATTTAGGCTTCTCATGAAAAGTGAAAACTCCAGGAAAAGGTGACCCACCCCCCATTCTACAAGTACAGGCCAGTTTTTTGTTTTGTTCATTTGTGTCTTTTCCAGTAGGTAATTTAAACATTCTTTGGGTCTTCACAACCTGTTCCTTTATCTTAGGATCAGGTTTCTGCTCTTTACTTATCAAGCCAATTTATGGATTTTCAGAATTTCTGAGGAATTTTGGGTGTGACAGGTCTGGAAGGAAAGGAGCCTAAATTTGACGAAGGGAATGCTCACATGGATCACCTTGGGTAACTTCGACTGAGGCCCAAAAGTAGCAGTCTTCTTAAAAGTACAAATTGTAGTTATGATTTCCTTGTCTCCTGTCTACCTAGATTTTATTTCTTCTATTTTACCTGCACAAAAATATTCATTGCCCGGGCCAGGGATTTAGCTCAGTGATGCCGCTGCCTGCCTTGCAAGCACAAGGTCCTGAGTTCGAATTCTGGTACCAAAAAACCCACAAAAATTCATTGCCTGATGTCATAAGCTAATTAGAAGTGAAGCCTAGACTTCAAGGTCAATCCTCTCCATGGGGAAGAAGTGTCCAGAGGAAATAACCACATAGTGGATCAGTGGCTGGACTTGAGTCAGGACTCTAAGCTCAGAAGCACATGAGTTTTTGGGTCCTCTGGTTTCAGCCATATCTCAGATCCCATATCACACCATCCTTGCAAACTCTGAGTTCAGTTACCCTGAACAGTGACCAAGATCCTTCTGAAGGAATGACTGGGGACTCATTTACTATATGTAGTGTGATTAAAAAAATACGGTGAATGATAGCCTGTTCGATAAATGGTGTTGGAAAAACTGGATTCCAACCTGCTAAAGATTAAAACTAGACCCATACCTATTACCATGCACTAAACTAAGATCAAAGTGGATTAAAGAGCTAAATATCAAGACAGAAGCAGTAAACTTGCTGGAAGATAAGTTAGGTAGAACTCTCAATGACATTGGCATAGGAAAAGACTTTATGAACAAAATTTCAGTAGCACAGGAGCTA